ATTTCTGTATTTAAATTTACATTTTCCATTACCCACATGTGCAAAGTTTGGTGCAGAAGGAAAATTTAAATGAAATTATATTATTTACATTTGCCATTTCCAACAATAGTCTTAATATTTAAAGTGCATACTGTTTTAACGCTTTATATGTTGAGAAATTAAAATGAAAATGTATAACCCAAATTGATTTGATATGTGTAACATGTCCAAGCAGAAATAGTAGCAAAATGATCATTTAAATGTTATTTGTCCTAAATGCATTTAGACTAACAGTTAGGACACTTACGATTGCATTTTCATCATGACGCGGAGGGATACTTGTAGCAAAATTCAATTTGAAAATACATTCCGAGCTGACCACGCCCACCCTCCATCAATCATTGCTTCAAGGCAGGGATTGGCGGAAACGTGGTACGTTTGGATCGTTTGAAACATGGCGGCTGGAGATCTGATAAGATTGTTGAATTCACTGGCAGATGAAGTGGAGCGTGAACAGAGAAATATATGAATCGTATTCCATGCTAAAATCAAACGTTCGAACGACCGACCGATCGAATGTCTAACCGTCGACCGAATGTCTATCCGAACATCTTGAGCTTTGAGCGTTTTACACTGCAGGTGACCCACGTGACGCCAGCGTTTTGAAATTAGCTGGTTTTTAAACATTTAAGGAGCCAAGCTGCTGTGTTAAGACTATAAATGGACATTACAAGCATTACAATAATGATATTTTATACCTAAAATAATACTCAACCATTTCCTGCATCCTGCTGTACTTCCCTGAATAAGTCTTTAAAGGTGTTGCAGGCTAATAAGTTGTTCCGAGTAATAAATTGAAAAAGCTCCCACCTGTATATGACTAAACAAAATAACATGTAGTTTACTTGAGGTTCTGTTATAAATGTGTCTATTAAAAACATTAATTTAAATGAATTAATTATACAAAAAATGATTTTAAATTAATTAAGACTTCCCGAGTTTTTGAACGAAAGTCCTGAATGACTGTTATTAAAGGTCATTTAATGAATTTTAATGATTTTCAATGCCCCGCAGAAACCCTGCCTTTGTTGGAAAAGTAAATAAATAATTTAATTATGTTTAACACTTTTCAGTAACAATATTTCATATTGAGGAGGACGATGACGGTCCAGCAGCGCATACAAGGAGAAAGGTTTGTAGTTTTAGTTTCCACATTCTTATTTTTATGAATGTAACAATGTAATTACTTCAAGGATGTTAGAAGAGGACCTGTTTGTACTATTAATATTACAATTCTATAGAAGAACGTAAATATATAAGTGTAGCGAATCAGCTCATGGGGAAATATGAATAATTAATCATAACTAGTTATAATTAATTATAAATATTTAAATCCGCTGTAAGTATTTACTTGACCTCTCAGGGTCAACTCTCTGTCAATTCTAAGAACGTTAATTTCCTGGTTAAAGGAAATAACTTTCTTACTGTACAGATCTACACAGAGCCTGTAGCATAAATCTGCATGATTAAGGGACTCCAGTTATGAGCAAACAATGAACAACATCAAGTGTGATACAAGCAAGACTTTATTAACTACATAAACACTTAAACTAGTCTAACATACTACATAAACACTTAAACTAGTCTAACATACACACGCGCGCACACACACACACGCATACAGTTGGTATAGGAAAAGGGTTAAAGCTTAAGCAGTAAAGAGGAGAGAAATAAAGCATGGAGCTATGGTACCATTTGATATTCAGCAGATAGGAACTGAAGGAAGGAAACATCAGATTCTTAGTTCAAACACACCTTTGTAAAAAGGTGTGAATGATACCTAATGTATCAATTAATAAGACTAAGTTTGAATACTTGCACGTCTCGTCTGTCTGAAAGAGAGGCTTGATGCAATCTGAAGGCTCAAGTTGATCTTTGCTGAAGTTGGTTGATGAAAAAGAACTAGTTTGAGTCAGAGAATCTTAGTGAATGGAAAAGTTGAGGCCTGAGGCCTGGCACAAACTGTCCTGGAGCGTTGTAGCTCACATTTTCGTCTTCTCAGAATCCAACCAAACCGCAGACTAGAGGCGGGTCACTGGTGTGAGGCCTTTAAGGTCTGAGAAGATTCACGCCTCTCAAGGTGGGCTTGTCCAATGAGAAAGGCTGAAATCCCAAGCGGGAGTTTGGAAATACTGGGGAGTTTTATGACCCTTTGTGTGGAAGCATGGTAATTTGCATATGGAACTTGAATCGAAATTACTAAAGATTCTCAGGACACTAATATATTGCCTATGTACCAACATATAATATACACTCGTTTAGATCATCTGAAGACGAATTCATAGATACTAAACATGGTAGGATTACATATAGGTAAGATGACAGGAACGAGTGGTTCCATCATAAACATGCATAAAACAGCATAAAATATCAAAGACAACAGACACAATGACCTGAAGGATATGTGTGTTCATTCAAAGAAAGGTTTTCCTATGAATTAATTAGAGAAGAGTCCATTTCTACTGTGCATTGTGTCTCTTCCTATGGAAAAGGAAGTGATTTTTTCTACTCACATTCCTTTGGGCCATAAAACCAGTGATATCAGCATTGGTTGCCATGGTGACCAGGGGGGCCTGGTGTCGTTCGCAGACATCCTGGCACCCAGTTTATTGGGTGAGGGGTCTGGGACGATTTGTTAATCTAATGAATAACTTATTTGTTAAATCAAATGAAAAATTGTGTGTTTGATTGGTCCAGACGCTACATAAGCTAGTTGTAGTGATTTTTACGATGATGACAATGTACTGCAATCAAATATATATGCATCAATATGTCTGAGATAATTTGCAGTAGCTGTGTCCTGCTTTTACAGTTGCTCTAAGCAGACTACCAAAACACATGCAACTGACTTCAAGAAAACACAGAATCACAGTTGTGTTGCTACTTTAGTTGCTTCTTCACTTAGCATGTAGAAACATACAGGAATAACTAAATATTTATCTTAAATGTGCCACAAATGTCTTTTAACAATGTGTTGTAGTAACCGAGAGAAGTGTCATGGCGGAATAAATGGCAGAAGTTCCTCAGACAGCTGTGAACACCGAGCAGTGCTTGGAGTCAGACAGACTTCATCTTTATTATACTACTCTGACTGGACTAGCAAGCAGTTAGAGTCCATGAGAAAGTAACTTCAAGTAGCCTACGTGTCTGCACTGACTATGATTATACAGAATGTAATGTTTTCTGCAACAATTGGGGGGATTCTTAGCTAAAGAGACAAACTGACCAACAGGAAGCTATGGATCTACTGAATGTGTATTTTTCAAGCATTTTATTGTGGCATTCACTGTTATTTTTCTGCACAGTGATGACTAGTGAGAAGTGTTTCTACTAATTTACTTAAAAGTATAGTTAACCCAGAATTCTGTCATCATTTACATTATTACATCAATTCCCCCTCTTTTTTTTTTCTTCAAACCCCTGACTTTAGTTTTTCTGCAGAACTGAAAAGAAGATACTTTGAAGAATGCTGGTAATCAAAACCAACAGGTGTGTCACGTGTAGACGACATAAAGGGAGTCAATGATTTTCATTTGTGGGTAAACTATCTCTTTAATTAGGATGATACACACTTTAAATTTCAATTATACTGGACACAGCCACTTAATGTGCTCGAATTAAATGGGAAAATAATAATACGTAAATAATCTTTCAAACCACATGTGCTTTAATATTCAAAATTCAGTTTGGTGCATTCAGTTATACCAGTGGTTCTCAACCTTTTTTTCCACCGGGTCCAAGTGCAAGTCTCGCGGGCCGCACGCATATCCTTTACATCCCTGATAGCAACAGACTCCGGGGCGGATCCGCCCTCAAGTCGGCAGCTCCGCTGTACTGTCAGACTCTGT